GTCGGAATCTTTCCCGCTACATTTTTCATAAATTCGCCTAAGTATTCTCCACTGATCATGAGCGCTCTGACTGTCGTAACTCTCTCCCGAGTAATTAACACAATTTACTAGACATATTCTCCCGAATTACGCTAGCTGGCGTTAAGTACAACTCACTAGGATCTCACCCAAGGTTTCTTTATCCCAAATCCTACCTTTAAACCCTCCATATTGATCCCTCAGAGACGTTAGGAGTGATGTTGTTCAACAACTACCTAAATATGCACTCTCTCCCGAGTAATACACACTAAATAGGCATAGTCGATTGAGAGCTCTTCAACCAACCACAATAATAACGTAGTTGAACAAATAGAGAAAATACTACAGCAAATCTATATACGTAACAGGAAAATAATCCTCCAAAAGGTTCCATCAAAACCCTAGTTAAAAAATTAGCTATTCATAATAGTATACAAAACTACAATACTAGAATTCATAACCAATAATAGAAATCGGAAGAAGGAAGTGAAAAACTCGTAGAAGAATTCTCCGCCTTGCTCCTAGTGTGTTCTTGCCTCCTTAGGTCGAATCTTCGGCCTCCACGGCGGCTTCGTGCTCTCCCTAGGTCTAAAGTTTGTCAAAAGTATGTCCCCACTCAAAATTGGTGTTTTTAGTTCTATTTATATGTGTAGGAAAAGCCCAAACATGTAGGTCAACTCCTAGTCAAGTCGGAAAATAATTAAAACCTTCAAAACTTGGACTGGACCTAGCTTTAAGCTGGCCTTGCCTAGATAACGCCAGCCTAGGCCTGGCTTTAAGCTGGACTCACCTGGATAAAGCCTGGTTAGGCCTGGCCTTAAGCTGGCCTCTCATGGATAAAGCCTGGTCGAGATGGCTTTTGCCCGGCTTCTCCTTTTCATCGTTCTCGAGCACACTTTTGATGTTTAAGCATCCCTTTAGCTCTACTTTCATTTCTGATACACCTACACATAAAATAGACTCCATTACGCTCAAATAAAGTATAATTTAACATTAAACATGTAAAATGCAAGGCATATAATGTGCAAAAACCATGAATTATAGCCACACATCACGAGCCTGGGTGTTGACTTTTTAAAAAATGACCTAAATTGAATTTCTTGCAATCGTGGGTAGTTCCTACTGCTTAAATTGAATTGTTTGATTGGTAATTGCTAGATTCTATTGGCCCGAAGGCTAGTGTGAAAGGAAAGGTGGTGATTGAGCTTTGAGTGGCCTGCGTAGGCGAGGTAAGTGTTGAGGCTAACCTTAGCTTGAGGGATTAGGTATTGTTGCCTTATTTGCTATGTGTTTGATTGTTGAGTACGACGTATAGGTGAGGTGATGAGTACCTATATGTTGTTGTCGAGTCATAGCATGCGAGTTAGCCTTATTCTTGTAGCCGTTGTACTCTTTGACCATATAAATCATGTTTAGACTTGTTATTCCATGTGTTGAGAAATTCTTATCATATTTTACGAGATTTGATACTGATTGAGTATTAACTTAGAATTTAGGCTGGTGTAGTGGAATTAAATATGAAGTAAGACTGAATCTTGATATTTCTATCTCCCTGTGATTACTATTCATTGTCTTGGTAAGGGAGAGTGTTAAAGCATGAAGGGTGATGCCGTGCGATGTTTTGTGAGTGAGTGATAATGCACGAAGGGTGATGTCGTGCCATGTAATGAGAGAGTTAATGCACGAAGGGTGATGTCGTGCCGTTTCTATTGTTTCTTATGGTGAGAATGAGAGTAAAAGCACGAATGGTGTTGCCGCGCGCTTGTTTGTTATGTTATTACTTTCGTTGGTGCAAAGCATGATATGTACTGCGTTCCTTTACTGTACTATTTTTAGGATTTTATATTCCCTTCAACATGTTTTCCCCCTTCCCGTTATTATCTGCTAAATTTTCGTTTGTTGTTATTTCTCGTTTATAATTTAACTGCATAGGTTCATGTTATTGTCATGTCCTAGCCTCGTCACTACTTCACCGAGGTTAGGCACGGCACTTACCAGTACATGGGGTCGTTTGTACTGATACTGCACTCTGCACTTTTTGTGCAAATTTAGGTACTGGACCATGTTGATCTGAGTTGGGTTGCTGCCTTCAATCCATCAGGAGACCCAAGGTAGATATGCCGGCATTCGCAGACCCTGGAGTTCCATTCCTTTTATCCTAGTTTCCCCGTTTTCTTTTATTTCGAGAACACATGTATTTTCTTTAAACCAGTATTTGTAGTGACTCTTAGAAGTTCGTGGATTATGACATCAGATTTTGGGTAGTCGTGTATTAGTATTTGGATTATTATAAATTTCCGCAATTTATTACTTTGTTTTGGTTTAATTATTATTATTTACTGTTTGGATAGCGGTTAGCGTATTAGATCTTTATCGGTTGGCTTGCCTAGCATTTTGAAAAGTTAGGCGTCATCATGATCCCGGCGGTGAGAAATTCGGATTGTGACAATAACACTCACTCGAAAAAAGAAAAAAAAATCTGACTTAAAATAAATTCCAACTTCAGAAGCCCAAATTTTCAAATTCAAACTTAAGTGAACTTCAATAACCATAAGTAAATTAGTTTGTAATTGCGTAATGGGTAAATTGAAAATGTAATAAAAATTTGGACTCTTAATTCGTCTTCAGTTATCTTGTTTGTAATTAATGAAAGAAATTTTCACCTCCTATAGCAAAGGTTAACACCTTATTTATTTTAAATAAATATTATTTAAAAAAATTATATTCTATAGATACTTTTTAAGGTTTATAGCAAAATATTTAATTTTGGTTACCTACTAACCCTAAGCCACTAAATACGCTATTCAGTTACAATATTTTCTTTCTCTCTCTACTTTGATACATCTCATTCTCTTCCCCCATCCCATTAAAATTTCCGCTCTCCTCCTCCTTCTAACGGCATCTTCTCAACTGAAAAATCCAGCAACCAGCAGCACATCAACAACAAACCCTAACCCGAAGACCCAATTATGCCGAAGCAAATCCACGAAATCGTTGGTGATTATCTCGCTGTATTCTGTCGCTGAAGACCCACTTTCACCAACTTTACAATGCTTGACTTCATCACATATTTATCTTTCATTGATGCCTGGATTTCATTCCATGCGGATAACTAGACAAGAAACCAATTAAGTTTTGATTTAATATTCTGTAAGTTCCGGTTCAATTAGCGTTTTGCAAGATCTTTGAAGATGGAAGGACTATTTGGCTACAAGGCGGAAATTAGGGTTTGTTCTTGAGCAAAGACGACGGAGTTTTGGGGCTGAGCAACTTGATTTTCTGTTAATATATTTTACTGTATTTTCAACGTATCACGCTGTATTTTCATGTATTTCATTGTATTCATTATTTTTTTTCCATTATAATTCAATGTATCTCGCTGTATTCCGTGTATTTCATTGTATTCATTGTCTTTTTTTTAATTATTTTTCAATGTATCCCGTTGTATTCTATGTATTTCATTGTATTCACTGTCTCGCTATATGCCATGAATGTATTCATATATTTTTTTAATTAATATAATTTATGTATTCAGATGTATTATATAATTTTCCTGAAGATTGTTATGTTTTTGGGGTATTTTTCAGTTGTGAATCTTTTTTATAACCGGAAATATAAATTTTGTGTGTTATATTGAGTTTGTTGAGTTATATTAGGAGTCTATTATATTAATTGATACACTTTCCGTTTAAAAACAGTGTAATCCCCTGTTTCACGCCGTGAATACAGTCGAATACAGTAATCTGTCCAGCTGTAATCCCATGTTTTACGTGATAAATACAGTCGAATACAACAACTGATTAGTTGGACTTTCCTGATTCACGCCTATTTTTACTGCTGTATTCATGAATACAATAGCTTAAATACATCAAATGCATCTTATAACCACAAAAAAGGTATCTATAATCCGTAATATAGCAAATAGTATCTATAGTGGCTAATTACTACTGAAAGATAGTGCTTTATGAAAATTTCATTAATGAAAACGTACTAAGATGGTTGTCAATTTTGTTTTGTGAGTGCAGTTCATCTTCATTTATCTTGTTTGCAAAAGCATACCAAACAACTCAAATGTGACGTGAGGAATAACAAACAATTCAAAGACACCATGAAGTATCTTGGATTCCATGGCTAGTCGAGAGAATTCAAGGTGCCGGCAAACTGAGGATGTCTACCAATTAGCAGAGAGGTCACTTTGTAATAATAAAAACAAGGGATTTAAGGCTAATATTGGTAGTATTCTCTTTTTTTAAAAATAAAATAAATATTGATAATATTCTGTGAATTGACTAATAGTGATAGCATTTGTGCTTTTAAAGGCCAACCTGGATAGTTTGCTAAAAAAACAAGGGTGATCTGGAAGTTCTTGAAGATAATGTTATTGATAGATAGAAACCTAATACTAATTAACAAAAGAATTTAAAATTATGAAAAGGTACAACTAATATTGAGAGTAAAAAATAATTAATACGGTAAAGATTAAAACAAAACTTAACATAACAGAACGGGAGATACAAACTTACAATGAGTTGATATCAGTGATGGAAAAAGAAGTCGATATTGGCTAAAAGTTGGAACTGGAAGGAATCTGTAACAAATGTAAGCTTTGATTGAATAGAAATAGATTTTAAAAACTCATGGGGATCTAAAATTTCAAGAGAATTGGTGCACTATCGAGGTGATCGAGGGTATAAATTTGACGGGCTGAATGTTTAAGTTCTTACTATTGCCATTATGCTTTTGAACTATGATGACAATTATATATATGAAACTTAATAAAAGAAAAATATTAAGAATAACATAAGATTTGACTTTTCAACCTCACCTAGAGAGGTGCACTCAATAATTATTGCATTATATATTATTTTGTACTTTGATACACACACATACATTATTTTACTTTTTTTAAAATATAACATTAATATACATGATCTAAGGGGGAGACTATGGATTCACGTGTCCAGGGGCCCCTAGATACGCCCCTGCTTGCCGATCAATGAAGCCAAGTTCTGCCCTTAACAGTAAGCAACCAAAAGCTATTAAGGCAAGAAAATTAAATAGAACAGGGAGGTTCCAGAGAAAGCTTTATAAAAACTAAACAATGAAACTAAGACCAGTTCGTAGCCCAAATAGTAGAATATTTCTTTTGCTTATATAGGTATATCTTTTAACTTGGTAATAAAAACTAGTATTAATTACCAAAAATTAAAATAGGTCTATTTATGTCGTGTGCATTGCATGGTCCCAAATGTAATTTGCCAAATTCTCATCCATGTCGTCCGACAGACAATAATTTGTGTTCATAACAGAATCACAGACAAAATAAAGATTCAATATATTGGAAAGCACTAAACCAACCAAATTCGAGGGAAATAAGTGTTATAGGAACCTCATATTCCTCATCTACCTCCTCAAATTGATCGTCATCATTTGTACTATTGCCAAATTCACAAAGCTTGTAAAATGTGTGACCCCTCAAATTATAACGTATGACCATTCTGGGAATGTGCAATACCATGAAGTCATCCTCCTCTTTCTCCCCTCTGACTACACAAAGCACAGCCATCGCCAAATAATGCCAGTCTGTTGGCTCAAGGTAATGTCGAATCATATGAGGAAACGCGGCGACAACATCTTCAACATTCACCTCATATTTCAAGAACCACTCCGTACCATCATTTTTCATCTCATAAATATTATAAAAAGTGAGCTTTTGGCGGCTATGAACCTGGACTAAATGCAAATATCCATAAGACTCTCCATAATAAGCAACTCTCATCTCCTCATCATCCCAACTTCTACCAATGCAAGGCATTGGAAACTTTTCGAGCTTTTCGTGTTCCACGTTGAAACGTAACGAGTTGTCCCCGCATTCCCAATATATAGCACCGTTCCAGTAAACTCCAGTGTACTGAAATCCTATATCGTAACGAGCAGGAAAAGGTGGACCCGAGACTCTCCATTTCTTAGTCTCAGATGAATAAATCTCAATTTGATAGTGCTCAGGAGCCTTGTCAGACCGTCGGGTGCAAACCACTTTGTAATGAGTCGATTTCCACGGATCCAACGCTAGTTTCATCCCAAGAATAACCTTGGAAATTTGTCTTTTCCCTCCTGGTTTAGGAAGTGTGATGAATTGTTGGGTAGTTGGGTTGTATATATAGTAGTTTTTGTTAGGTCCGTGAGCACGAAAGCTGCAACAAAGCAGAAGTCCATTGCAAGATTGGAGAATTCTTATTCCAGAAGGGTCATCTACAAAACTGAGCTTTTGGAATGGTGCTTGAATAGGATTTTCCAGACTAAGTGATACAAATTGATGAAAAGGGTTAATCAAAAAAGAAGAGCAGTGCAAGAAAAGGCCGCGGGCAGGGTTGAGACAGGGGACTCTTAGGCGGGTGAATTCGGGACAAGTGATTATACAACTCCATTTTTTGGAGACGCATTTGCATCGGACGAGTGATTTTACTGGAAGACGGAGAAGAATCTCTATCAAAAGTTCTTCATTAGAAAAAACTACATTCGCAGAAAATGATGATAAACGACTTGGTTTAATCATCTTAATTCTGATTTTTGGCATTTTTATTCTGTGTAGAGTTGGGACATATATGTGGTCTTATATAATTTGCCAAATATTTAGCTTCTAGAGAACGTTTCTTCTAAAGTACGCCAAGTTAATTAATCTTCTCCCAATAAGTCAACGCATTAGGTTCATATATCATCCTTGGAAAATCACAAAGTGTTTTTTAAGATGACATGACAGGAAAAAAGAATACCTCAAAGCTTGGGTTAAGTATTTTAATTACGACGGTTATTGGAGAATCATTTCATATCATTCATTTTCCGCTAGTGGTTTTATTAAATTATTCATATCTTGTGTAACTACTATTTTATTCGCCAATATTGATAATACAAATAAAGCAATATTTCTTTATTTGTTATAAATAGAATTCTATTTATGGTGAATGTCCATATTTAGAGAGATTCTATGGTTTATTAATTGGTGGCTAAGTCAACCTCTCCCTATAAATAGATGGTTCTATTCCATTGTAATTCATCTCAAAATTCAATAAGAATTCAATCTCTCTCTTTCTCTGAAATATTGTTCTTCTGCTTTTATTGTTTTACAACACGTTATCAGCCCGAGACTCTACCGTCTCAAGAAGATTAAGGTACAACTTTTCTCCTCTTTTAATTATGACTGACATTATGAAAAGAAAGTTCGTTGCCCTTGAAATTTCGGGCAAGAACTATATGACATGGGTGTTGGATGCTAAAATCCATTTAAATGCAATGGGTCTTGGAGACGCCATTAAAGACAAAACTAAAGCATCCACCCAAGACTGTGCTAAGACCTTGATTTTCTTGCGCCATCACCTTGATGAAGGGTTGAAAATAGAATATGTCACAGTCAAAGATCCACTTGTTTTGTGGAATGGCTTAAAGGAAAGATATGACAACTTAAAGTTGGTCACTCTTCCACAAGCACGATATGATTGGGCTCATCTGAGGCTCCAAGTCTTTAAGTCTGTTTCTGAATATAATTCTACAATGTTCATAATCACTTCTAAATTGAAACTCTGTGGAGATACTATCACTGATTATGATATGCTTGAAAAAACGTTCACAACGTTTCATGTCTCTAATATGGTCTTGCAACAGCAATACAGAGAGAAAGGTTTCAAAAAGTACTCTGAGTTGATTTCTCTTCTCCTTGTGGCTGAGCGAAACAATGACTTGCTTATGAGAAATCACGAAAATCGATCCACTGCGTCTACACCATTTCCTGAAGTTGATGAGGTGTATTCCCATTATGCTAAGCGTGAAAAAGGTCGTGGCCCTATTCGTGGTCGTGGTCGTGGTCGTGGTCGTGGTCATGGTCGTGGCCATGGCCGTGGACAAGAAATTTTCCTGGTGTTGATCACCCCTAAAGAAAAATAACCACCAAAAGTGGAAAGGGAAAGATGAGAAACCAAAGGCAAATGGTTCAGAAACCGAATGTTATCGTTGCGATGGAAAAGGCCATTGGGCAAATATTTGTCGTGTACCAAGACATTTGGTTGAGCTTTATCAAGCATCTCTAAAGAACAAAGTCCCTGAAGCTAATTTTGTCTCTGGCAATGATTTTGACATCACCCACTTGGATGTGGCAGACTTCTTTGAGCACCCTAATGGAAAAATAGACTACTTGATCGGTGATGGATCCGTGGTGAAAGATGATTGAGTAGTTTAATTTTTATTTTTGCCTATTCATAGTATTGTATTGCTATTATTGTATTGCTGTTATTTTATTATGCATTTTTATGGTACTAACATATCGGTTTCGGTTGCTTTTTGAGTCGAGGGTCTCCTGGAAACAGCCTCTCTACCCTTCGGGGTAGGGGTAAGGTCTGCGTACATATTACCCTCCCCAGACCCCACGTGTGGGATTATACTGGGTTGTTGTTGTTGTTGTTGTTGTTGCCTATTCATAGTAGTTAGTGCATAAATATCATGTAATCATAGTTCTTTACATGAGTAGTAGTCATTAGTTTTATTTGTTTTATAAAATTGTGTTAGTTAGTTTTGATTAAATGTAGTTCTAGTATTCGTTGCAAACGATGTTTTAATTTTTTTAATCTTCAATGATTAATATATTATTTGTTAAAGTAATTGTGATGTGAAAAAAAATCAGTTACTGGAGTTGAACAATAGAAGTTAGTTCTGCCTTGTTAAAGCAAGTCTTTTGAAAGTTAGTTCTGCTTATTTATTTTTATCGAGGAACGAAAAAAAAATCTAGCGAAAATCGAAACTTACAGATGTAAGATGTACGATAGCAACTCAATTAGTGAATTACTACCCTTGTTATCAATTATGTATAATTGATTATGTGTATAAATTAATAGAAAAAAATTTCACAATTGTCCAAGTAGATGTTTTCTCTTTTTTTTATTGTTAAGGTATAAGGCGTCAATCTACATAACTTGACCATGTGAATTTTTGTAATGGTCGCGCGAATTTTGTTTATTTATTTTCACTTCATTTCGTAGTCCTGATTTTGGAAGTTTCGGATTATTGAAATTCTGTGAGATAAAAGAACAATAGTGAACAAGCCGATTGTAATTCGGAAAAATATGCTGCACTTTTAATAGTTGTATTCAAGCAAATTGTTTGTAAGCCTAGTTTATTTCTCTAAAAATACTAATGTTTATTCGTATATTTCTTTTGTATGTCTAACAATGCGAAGCAAATATGGATATTCCACAAAGCAAACTTGGAACAAAGTTCAATTGTAAAAAATATTTGTTTAATTGATTCATGTACGACACATACAATATTCAAAGAGAAGAAATATTTCTCTCATTTAAATATGTGTAAGGCAGATGTTACTACAATTTCTGGTAGTAGCAAATTAATTGAAGGCTCTGGAAGAGCTACTATAACTCTGCCTAAGGGAACAATACTTATCATAGAGAATGCAATGTTCTCCTCCAAGTCCAAGAGGAACTTGTTGAGTTTTAAAGATATCCGTCGAAATGGATATCATATTGAGACAATAGATGAGAATAATCTTGAATATCTCATCATTACCAAGAACGTCTCTGGCCAAAAGAGGGTTATTGAGAAGTTCCCATCTTTATCTTGTGGCCTGTATTGGACAAGAATTAGTGCAATTGAGGCACATTCTA